CCATGGCTCCACAAGCGGGGGCTGGAGTTGCTCCTGCATCGAAACAGCCCAGAGCACCAGGTCCAGTCCAGAGATGTGAGTCCGACTTACTTCTCTTAGACAGTGGGGACACTACAGAGTCCCTCAGAACACTGCTGTGGGTGACAGACAGCGCAGAAGCTAGTGCTTTGTAAACGAAGAAGGGCTGCCTGAACTGCTGTGTGGCTGTTTTTAAGTGGGGTAGAAAAGATAGGAAGAGGCGCTCAAGTCTCCAGGAAGGAGGACAGGCACATGGAGCACGCTGAGACGGCCTAGTGGGTTGGGGACCTGCCTGCTAGGACTCCCAAGTACCCTGTCAACAGACTGCACGCCCTGGAGAAGGCACTCTGTGCATCAGGGCCCCCGAGAGGGATGTCCTTGCCGTTTGTGCAGTAAGAGCACAGCGCCAGCCCCTGCTGACCTCCAAGTCCCACAAGGGCCACCGGTGAGTTCAGATCCCGGGCCCCACTCTGCAGTGGTACCCTGCTGTCTGGAAGTGGGACCGAGCTGCAGCACTGAGGGTCTCGAGTCCTCGCTAATCTCGGGCCTTTTCTGTCAGTTCATCCCGCTGACCACAAGATGGCGCCCACTTTCTGGGAAATCCGCGGTCATGAAAAGCGTAACATCCACCCTCTGTATTAAGCAAAAAGGATGGATTTGCGTTTAATGACCTTTCCCAGCATCTCATGAGGCCAGCATCTTGTGCCCTCGGTGTGAGGCATTTATCCTGACGTTTTTCCTTTCTGCTAGGCACTACTGGTTTGGGATGAGTCTTGGGTTTTGCGTTCCTCCAAGCAGTGACTGCTAACTTCCGATCCTAACTAACCACGGTAGCAGTAACTTCTAATACACTGTTAATCCTTTACCATCTGCAGAGTGCTTTTACCAGCTATCCCCAGGATTATTTTAGGAAATGGACATTATTTTTTCCAGTTATGAGAAAACTAAGACGCAGAGCACTACCTTGTTCGGGCACAACGTAATAATTACGAAAAGAGACTTTTCCAATTACAGATCAGGACGATCCCTTTGTAACACAGAGATCACAGTCACCTGGCTGCTGGGGGCGCTGCAGACGCAGGCCCGAGACAGGAAGCGTCCAGGCAACCCCCGGAAGACCTAGGTACGCAAGAGGTCAGGCCGATGTCCTCCTAGAGCTTCCTGCAATCAAGCAAAAGGTCACACCGGGCAGACATGCCTGGCTGGGCCGTGGACCAGAGGAGCCACGGCTGTGAGGTTTCTCTGGAGATGCGGGAAGCACCAGCAGGCATTTAACAAGCAGGACAGATTTGTTATTTTTGTTTTTATTATTTTTATTTTATTATTTTTAATTTTATTATTTTTCATTTTCTATTCCTGAAAAATGAAATGTTATATTCAAAGGGCAAACGCTAATCTTAATTCTGCCTGGAGAGCTGTAAACCCATTTCCAAAGAAATTCATTGTCTCCAAGCACCACTCTCTTATGAAGTCAGCGGCTCTAACAAAGATAGTTTCTAAGATCGCTTACAGACAGACCCCCGTAGCTAACCAGGGGCCCAAGCGTCAGGCGCCACTTGTTGTCTCCCAGGGAGGAGCTGAAAATGGAGGCCCAGGTTCCATGGACCAAGAATGCTGTGCACAGGACAGCGGCCATGAAACGGAAAGCTTAATAAATTGTGCTTTTCTCATTTATTGATTCCAATGGGTATTTTAAGCTTCTCTGTTCTAGCCATTGAATACGCCTCAGCTTGCTGTCTGGAAAATGGCGATGACTGTACCCCATACTTCCCTACAGAAGAGCTACTGCATTGTGGCTGTAACCTCTAATCATCAAGACTTTCATTTTCTGCCCTCTGTTTTATGAAACAGACTTTGTGGAGAGGAGATGAGGAAGAACATGCCCCATGGTCGGCCACAGTTTGCCCGCTGACACCCCGGCAGGCCTAGTGAAGGCCCTCAAGCTGCCTCCTATCCAACCCGCCCCACTCAGAAAGCCCCTCCACTGTGGCGGATCTTACCAGGCCAGGGCCATGGGGAAGGAGGCTGGGGGTGCGGAGGATCAGCAGTGGGCACACGTTCTAGTTATGTGTGTGGAGCCTGCTCTATTTCTTTGAGCCCAAATTATAGGGCAGCTACACTGAGTTAAATAGACCCCAATGCACTAGCCAGGGCCTTAACTAACCTTACATAACGATGTCTATGAAAAATTAACTCTCCGCGCATACCTGACTTCAAATAAACTTTTACAGTACAGCACAAGTGGGGCACTAGCTACACACACCCGAACACTCAGAGGACAGCTGCTTCTTCTGCCCACCTATCTGCGTCGTCATTCATACCATCTTTTAATTAAGGTATAGGATAGCCCATAAGGACATATGAAAAACAAAAAGCTAAGATTCGGGATGAGCAAGTGGCTCGATGGTACAGTGTTTCCCCAGCGCTTGCCTAGCACGCAGGAGGCCCCAGATTTAATCCCTAGCACTCCACAAAAGAAAAAAGAAAAAATCCAAGATTCAAAGATATATTTCAGTTCAGAGCAATGGTTCTGCGATAAATGCATCTTCACTGCATTTAAAAAGAATATTAAACATCATTTCTTTTTAAAAAATTTTTAATAGTGAAAGTAGGCAGCAGTATAGCATAAAACACAGCATGTTTTATATTTGTAAATTGTGCCTTTATTTCCTTATCCATAATTAAGGATGGTTATTTATTTTCTAGGATTACATTTTAAAAATTGAAACAATG